CCTACCCGGTTATTAAAACATAAAAATTTTTTATAAAAATTTTCAAAATTTGACTAGGTCGGGTTACGAGAACCAATTAAACAACTTTACATGGCCTTACTAAGTTTTTGTTTCTTGTTTTTATCAATTCTTTTAAGTTCATAATCGTTTTCTACAGCGAAACTTGCTTATAGTTTGTTGTCGGTCATTAATTTATATATTTAAGTTCATGATCGTTTTCTACAGCGAAACTCGCTTATAGTTTGTTGTCGGGTCATTAATTTACATATATTTTTGAAGTTTGCTATTTATCACCACTAGTGATCATCACCGGTGTTATCTCAAAAACCTACTACGTACTGTACGTGTTGAACACCACCGGTGATTTGTAGTAAATTTTATTTTTATCTACAGTATATTACTCTTGCTTTTACGTACAAATATTATCTATTTTCTATATTTGTGTTATTAGTGGTGCCACAAAGAATTTTTCATATGGGTGGTTGGAACTTAATGAAAGAAATTATTCTATTGTATTACTATTGCTTGCCATATTATTATTTCTAAACTATATTCATGACTTTAGATATTATAATAATGTACAGTACGTATAATATGGCCGCTCACCGGAGGTAAAATTCACCCGATATGCTGTTTCTATAAAACGATCTTAATAATTAGTGTTTGGCGAACTGAGTAAAAATGGTCAACCCTAAAGTTATTTAACATTTTGAGGTAAATGTTTTAAATCTACGAAATCATATTTCACCTCCGGTGAATTTTAATATAATATAATTAATAATTGAGAACTATGTGTAGTATACAAAGTTGTAAATCAATAAATTAATATATACCCATGTATATACATTATGTGTTTGCTTAGATTTTTTCTTAATAATTTCAACTATACCGTATTTGCGCGTAATAGCGGGCCGGGGCGTTATTTTGAGCCACGGCCCGAATTAAGATTAATTTAGGCCGAAATTTGAAATTACACCCCTGCGCGTTATTACGCGCAAATACGGTATAAATTATTTGTTTTATTTTAACAGTTTTAACCCGATAAATATTAAAATCAGTTTTATCATGCCTTGATGCGCACATTCGTGGGAACCTTTTAAAGTTTTCTTAGTTATACATAACAAAAATCCCAATAAAAAGAATATATATATATATATAATGTGTGTAAATTTAAATTTCAATATCTTTTTATTAACCTAGTTTTTACAATACAGTATAGTGCAATTAAAGCAAAAATAAATAAGAAATAATAATAATAAAAACTTTGAATCGTAAAACATAATAAAAAGATGTTGGTTTAAATTTAATCTAGGAATGAAAACTTTTTCCAATTATTTACATACAATTTGATTAATTTCGTATCAATTTCTTGACAATTAGAAAGTGCCAAACTACGATTTACTGATTTCTGAGTTTCGAATAATGTTTCCTGTTTTTCACTCTCATATGATGATTCGCTCATAACCTTTTCAAAGAATCCCGATAATGCGGCTACTGGATTTTTATCCACATTTTGATATTCAGGTGTCGTTAATAATGTATTTAACCATTCTTTATTCGAAACAATTCTAAAGTCTATTCCGCTTTGTTGTAAAGATTTCAAGAATTCACCCCATGTGGTTTTCTTCGGATTAAGTATATGATTAACTCGAACATAATCACCATCGAAAGATTTATTCAAGGAAATGTCAACGATACTTTGAGATGCAACATCAACAGGAATCCAATCAACAATTGAGGAATATGAAGTCGGCATAATTTTCATAACTTGTGCACCTTTTATCATAAGTGGAATATGTTCTCGAGTATTCCAAACTCCCGTAACTGAATCTCCACTAACTTGTCCAACACGATGAATATCAAGTTTAAACCCAATTTTTCGCGACCATTCAGCACATACATTTTCAGTAATGAATTTTGATAAACTGTATCCATTAAGCATTGCATTTGAAATATCATGAGGTAATTCATCTTCTTTAACATTAGTTTTTGATCCAATAGTTGTGCTAATACTTGATGTAAAATTAAAATGAACGTTTTGATGATGATTATATGCTTCACGGACGAGCATAAGAAGATGAACAGTTCCAGCAATACATTCACGCTCAAAAGCTTCAATTTTACTATTAAAATCCAATCTCCAAGCGACGTGGTAAATTTGTGTTACTTCTTGGACAAGTTTTGAATAAATTTTTTTGGTTTGCCCAAATTTTGGATCGCCCAAATCACTTGGTAAAATAATAATACGTTCTTTAGATAATAATGAAGTATCTAAATGACGTTGTTCAAATGAATCTTTTAATCGAGACCATCCATAATCTTTATCTGAAGCTCTTACCAAACAGTAAACTTTAAGCACATTTGGATTGTTTAATAAATCACGGAGAATAAAAGAGCCAAGGGATCCAGTAACTCCCGTCATAAGAACCGTTTCACCATTTTTTTCATATACAATTTTATTAATTTTATTAAAGTCACCCACAGGAGGAAATTTATCAGTCGCACTGTACTTTTGAATATATGAGCTCACTTCCTTTTTAAGAGCCTGTAATTTTGCTTCGTAGCCATCTTCAATATTTTGGCTTTGTGGAGAGTTGATATTTTTTAATAATTCTTTTGTTAAATAATGTGTAAGACTTTGAAATGTATTATATTCAAAAATCACATCTTGAGGAAGGTTGATAACTGGAAATTGTTTTTGAAGAATAGCTCGTAATTTAGTTGCAGATAAAGAATCTAGACCAAT